GGGTACCACTGGGGTGGGGGGGGGTGCATCACAGTGAGGACTAGGCCTTCATTTTCTTCAAAACTCGTGGAGACTCCATGTGGTGCATCCACAGCGAGTACCAGAGCTTCCTTCTCCTCAGGACCTGGGGACCCCTAAGTGGGGGTACATCACACTAAACACCAGAACTTCCTTCTCAGGACCAACCTGGGGACCACTGGTGGGGGGATGCAACCACAGTGAGGATCAAAGCTTCCTTTTCCTCATGACCTGGGAACCAGTAGGGGGTGCGTCAGTGAGGTCCCGAGCTTCCTTATCCTGAAGACTCCTGTGGGGTGCAACCACAGTGATGACTAGTGCTTCATTTTCTGGACCAATCTGGGGGATGTCACCTCACCTTTGGGATACATGAGGGCCACAGGAGGAAAAATAGGGCCTCTCTGAGACCCTGAGTGCTGAGAGATCTTTGCTGGGTGTTTTACTTTGCCCTGTAATATTTTAACAAGATTTTAGAAAATCATACCTCTATTAAGGTTTCCACTAGTCATCTTTATAGCAAGCCAAACTACTTTTTATAGATATATGTTTCTTTCTGGGGAGAAATCCTGGTACAAAAAAGGGAGAAACACTGAGACAAAACTGGAACAGTCCAGGTCAAAGTTGGGGATGAACAAGCGCACCTGTGGGGTCACCCTGGATCCTGAAAGGGAAGGGCAAATGTGCACCTTGTATGCTTGCTTTTACTAATTTTTTTTTTTTGATGGAGTCTCACTCTGTTGCCCAGGCTGGAATGCAGTTGCGCAATCTCAGCTCACTGCAACTTCCACTCCCCGGGTTCAAGCAATTCTCCTGCCTCAGCCTCCTGAGTAGCTGGGATTGCAGGTGCACACCACCACGCCCAGCTAATTTTTGTATTTTTAGCAGAGACAGGGTTTTTCACCATGTTGGCCAGGCTGGTCTCAAACTCCTGACCTCAATGAATCTGCCCACCTCGGCCTCCCAAAGTGTTGGGATTACAGGCGTGAGCCACAGCACCTGGCCACACCTGGCTATTTTTTGAAAAAGTTTTTGTAGAGACAGGGTCTCTCTATGTTACCCAGGCTGGTCTCAAACTCCGAGGATCCAGCAGTGCTCCAGCCTCAGTCTCCCCAAATGCTGGGATTACAGGGATGAGCCACTGAACCTAATTTCAAAGGAACCTTTTTACTTTTAAGTATGACATTTGTGTTTTTGGAACATGTTCCCTATCAAGTTAATTTTTATTCCCAATTTAATACTATTTTAAAGTCATCTATGGGTATTAAATTGCACCAAGTGATTTATCAGCACATACTGAGATAACCCCTATGAGTTCTATCTGGTAGTGAAGTTAATCAGAGTATTTTCTAATATTAGATCTTCCAAACATACTATTATATTTTTTGAGACAGGGTCTCACTCTGTCACCCAGGGTGGAGTACAGTGGCATGATCTTGGCTCACTGCAACCTCTGCCTCCTGGGGTCAAGTCCTGCCCCAGCCTTCTCAGTAGCTGGGATTACAGGCACCTGTCACCATGCCCGCCCCTATTTTTTGGTATTTTTAGTAGAGATGGGATTCCGCCATGTTGGCCAGACTGGCCTTAAACTCCTGACCTCTAATTATCTGCCCACCTCAGCCTCCTAAAGTGCTGGGATTACAGCTGTGAGCCTCCGCACCCGACCCAAACATACTAATGTATTTCCATTAGGTTCAGCCCAATTTAACAGCACCAACTCCCAACCCCAAAGAGAAAAGGTGTCATTTTTTTTTTTTTTTTTTTT